AGCTTTGTTGAAGAGCCAGGAGGCAGGAAAAGATGGAGAAACCCATGCTGTCACCAGCTGCAGGGAGACCACGATTGCATGTCAGATTTTAATTGCGGGAATGGGTGCAGCATGCCCCAGTGCTCCAGGAAGCACCTCTGCCCTCCTCAGGTGCTCCCCTCCTCATGGATGAAGGCAGGGTGAGGCTGGCAAGGTGGCAGTGCCCCCAGTTCACTCAGTGCCATGTGGACCTTTCACTGGTGTATGGTGAAAATGGGCTGGATTTAGCAAGATCAGTCCTATAAACTCCAGGAGTTGCAGTTCAGACTATTGGGAACATGACAACTCCACCTACTTTTGATGCAACTTGAGCTTCACTGGAGACAAGTAATGGAGGTCTGTTTTGCAGTAAAACAATCTTTGAAGGTACGTAGCCCAGCTCTGTCCAAAATATGCCCTGAGGGACCATTCCAGGATGGAGCAAGAGCAGACTGTACTAATGGAGGTTACTGCATTAAGCACTAGGCTGCCTGGGCATCCTCACTGAGGTCTCAGCCTTCCAGTTCTGTCCACCGTAGCTCACCAGCCCCTTCTCTGCCACATTGGTGGGTGGCTGTTGACAACCTGGTTTTCCTTTCCTCACTAGTACTGGAGAGCAGACCTGGTGGAAACGATGATCCCCTGCAGATGTGTCCAGAAACACAGCCCAGGGGGTTTGGGGAGTGGAGCACAAACAGGCCAGCAGAGCTGCTGCAGCAGAGAAGCTTTTGCAGGTGCAATACTAGGATTTGGACCTCATTTTAAAGCAGTTTTTTTTAAAAAAAAATTACTTTGATCAATTCAGATTCACTTCCCCAGAAAACACATCCCAACCAAGTGCACAAAACCTGCCACAATACTTAGTTGTAGAGGATGCAGTCCTGATCCAATCTTCTCTGGAGCAAAAGCTCTGGGGTGAAACTGAGATGCTCCAAAGGAGAGCTGAGGAGGAAGCACAGCTTCATGCTATGGCATGACTTCTTCTGCACTGGGCACTAGTGTGGGCCCAGCTGGGATAAATCTGTGCTGCCATATTGATTTATCCTAGCTGGGAGGCTATTGCAATGTAGGCTTGGCGTGTTTTTTTTTTTTTGTTTGTTCCAGGCACATATGGGATGAGGAAGTGAGGGTTTCCTAGTACAAGCACTATTCTAAAGAAACCTCCTGCTGAGATCAGAGCCTTGAGTGTGTGCTCTGCCCCGGTAGAGGGGCAGAAGAAAATGTAGAAGGCTACAAGGTCAAAAGACTCTACAGCCAGCAAAACAGCAGGAAGAAGTTCTAAAAATAACAAATTGTCCCTAATCTGGAAAAAGTCTACACCTTACCTGCCTACTGCTACTGTTTTCAGATTCATACTGGCACAGGGAACTTGGATGATACATTTCCCCTAAACCCTGCTCCATCACTTTACCACCAAGATTGTAACTTTGATAATATTTAATGCACAGGTGAAGGCATATGGGCACATTCAGAGTAAGCCCAGTAATTCTGCAAAAATCATAAGGGTCCTAGAACCACAGGGCAAACACACACAGTAACATCATCTTCCTATCCATAAACATGCTGTAAAAATTACTCACCTGAAGAAGAGCTGCATGCAATAGAGGCACCTACTACTTATATGGATTGCTTTACTTGAAAAGATCCTACCAGTTGTTACCTCAAAAATACACTGCTTACCTCTTTGGATATGCATCAGCCCATAGACTCTGACTCACCTAAGGAACCCTACAATTGACTGAAGGAAAAACAAAGCACTTACCACCACCCCCCAACAAGCAGCTCAGGCATAAAGAGCTCTCTGATGGGACACCTGCAGTTTATGTACCATCAGGCCCCACCTGGCACCCAACCAATCACCTGGGAAAAGGAGGGGCAAAGAAAAACAAATAAATAAATAAAAGAAATCAAGCAGGATGAGCAGCAGCTGTGTTGTTTTTGTTTATCTGGCTCAGCTCAACAGCGTGCAAAGCACAACACAAAGGACTGGGTTATTTCTAGAAGCAACAATTCCTGTGCTTTTGCTTCAGCTTTGAATACTGAAAGGACACTATGATCAAGCAAGTAACTGAAACTATTTCAGCTGGAATTAGCTCAAACCTTTCTTTCCATAGGCAAAAATAATTTAGGAGCATAACGGATTACATGCCAAAAAACAAACAAACAAACAAAAATTCAGTGTAATAACATGACTCACAGGAGAAATTAGGCACTTGAGTAGGCTATCTGAAAACCAAAAGGCTATGCTGATGGGTCAAAACTCACTACAAGACACTGAAACCTAGCCTTCTGCTGCACAGACTTAAAAACTACTGTCACACTCACCACGGCAGTACCCACCCAGTGCCCTCTAGCTCCCCCAGAAAGCCTCCTACTGACTCCCAGTTCCTCTAGGATGCCCAAGAGACCTCCCAGGGCACTCCAGGATGCCCTAAGAGCCTCTTCTTAAACCCTATAGGCAAAATATGGACTGTTCCTGGAACCCTGTGGCCTCTGAAGGCCTCTCAGGGCTCTCTAGCACACTCTTGGGCACACTGCAGGCCTCCCGTGGTCCTCCCCTGCACTCTAGATCCTCCACACGTCAACCAGGGCCACCCAGTTCCCACTAGCTCCCCCAGAAAGCCTCCCAGTGACCCCCAGTTTCCTGCAGGATGCCCTAGAGGCCTCCCAGGGCACAGTGGGATGCCCTACGAGCCTCTTGCACCCTAGAGGCAAAATAAGGACTCTTCCTGGAAGAGATGTTGCTCTGAGGCCAGTCCTAGTCCAGCCTGGTTTCTTACACAGTGAAATTGTCTTCAGAATGAGAGGATTGTCAAGGCAAGGGGATGAAAATTCATTGAACAAACCTTACATGACAGATATAATCGAAAGCTGCATGGAGTGGAGGGACTGAGGTCTGCCTTTATGGGGAACTCACTACTACTATGTAATAATTTTAGAATCAAGGGAGGAGCTCTGAGGACAGGAAAGTCATTTAATTTTAAATAAAATGGACTGTAAAAAGAATATCTGTCTCACTTGCATGTGTTCTCCACCCTGCAGTTGCTCAATGGCTTGTTCATAGTTGATCTGCAGTCCTGCCTGTCCTCTCACCACTCTGTGGAAGACTGGGTGTGTTAGGGGTTGCATGCATGGGCACCGCTGGCAGGTTGTACTGTTCAGCAACATGACTTGGTACAAACACTGAGAGCCAAACATAAAGGTGAAAAGACTGGCAGTCACCTTCTGCTGGTCCTGGCACATTGATTTCTCCTGTTTTAAGCCAGCCTGCCTTGAAAATAGGGAAAGGGGCACTGGGCTGAACAGGCAAACAAGCCAATTAAATGAGTCCTGGGAATGCAGAGGGGTATGTGGTGAAAAAGAGGTGTAAGTTCATGGTGTTTGCTTGTGTGGTTTGCACACTGATGGCTTGGCCAGAAAGGCAGAGGCAAAACAAAAAAGATTTCAGCAGAGGATCCCACAAAGGGACAGGAAAGACAGGAAGGGGAAGACTTTTGCATTATGTATTGTGCTGGGAATTCTGACATTACAAAGTTAGGGTTAAAGAGGAAAATACATTACTTTCAATATTTCCAACAGAATTTTCTTACTAATATTGATGAATTGTTGTCTTATTTGGACAAGGCTTTATGTGTAGATGAAAATTACTTTTGGCTGAGAAGTATGTCTATAACCCTAGCTTAATCATTAATAGCATAACCTTTTTTTTTTTTTTAATTATTTTTCCTTTGTGCCCTAAGACTACTAATAAATCAAATTATTTCAAGTCTTAGAAACTGTTTGAATAAAATCTATGTATCAGTTTGCTTGCTTCTTGGCTATTGGCTTTGCTATCATTTATTTGTTTTCTTTACAAAAGAGCAGAAATGAGTATTCAAATTCCATCTGTAACTTTGGGTTTACTAATGGGTTTACCTCTTGCAAAAATGTCTTGAGGGTTTTTACACATCTCGCCCAGGAGATGGCAGAAGAGTCCTAATGATAGCAAATACCAATTATCACCAGCTGTCATTTTGCCGGATGACAGATGTTTAAGCAGAAGGAAAGAATTAGGGATTTGTTGATGTATGATACAAATGATCGAAACCTTACAGATTTACAACCAAGACTTTTCAAGCTGCCTGTAAATTTATGCCCTCTTGCCATGCTTATAGTGATGTGTTGTGGCTTGATTTCATGTCATACGTCCCTCTTGCTGAAGCAAAGTGAAGTCAGTTGTAATACATCAGCTAGGAGCAAAGGATGTTGTAAAGGGCTGTCTTGTCAGGAAGATTTTAGGTCAGGAGTGATGTCATGACAGTAGCAGTTTTTATCTTAGCACTCAGACTGCAGACTGGATTTCTCAAAATGAGGCAAAAATAATCATGTATTTAACGAGTTTGTGGGTGGGAGATGGCAGAATCTGGAACTGAGAGAGGCACAACAAAATACTCATAAAGATTTCCATGCACTCCTGTATTTAAGTGCCACACTCAGACACTTGCCTGTGTACTGAGATAGTAACAAACCTGACTCCAGCTGGAATATACTAGAATGTATTCATATGACCCAGCTCACAGGAGTGTGCTTCAACTTCTATAATTAAGTGCTATAATATCCTTAGTGTGACCCCAACTTTTGCTGAAATCCATGGAGCCAAGACATAACCATATTGCTGTTTGCCCCTTTCACTAGTTTTTTTGAGGTGACCCAGGAAAGAAATAGACCCCCACTTCTCAGGCATCACAAGCAGAGCTTGGTATCATGCTGGTGCCATTTTCCACCAAACCCAGATGAAGAATTTTGTTCATGGGAGCTGGGTTCATTAACTGCCCGGAAAGGACCACTGGACTGAAGAAGAGTTTTTTCTGAGAAACACAGGAAATTCCCAGCCCTTTGATGGTACCAGTCAATCACCACAATGGTAATTATACAGGCAGTAAATGTGTGAAGACCTAAGTGCTCAAGTTTTTTTTATGACACACAAACACCATCCATCCCAGCACATTCCCACTTATTATTTCTGTAGGCATCCTCCATTGCTAGCCAGCCTGTCATGCAGTGCCAGGGGTGGCAAACCATTGCAGTTATTTTAGAAGTGATACATGACATATTTGTTGGACAAGGGAGTCATTTGCCAGCATCTTTCCCTTTCAAGCGGCATCCATAAAGCCACGTGGACAGGAGAGTCTGGTAAGATGCAGATTTTGAGCCATCCTCCCAGGAATGGTCAGAAAAGGAGAAGGGATATTTAGCTATAGAATACAGGTTTACGAAGTACACGCAATACATTGTATGTGTTCAGGCCCGGTGCATCAAACCCAGGAGACAAACCTTTGCGATCAAATGGATAAAAATTAAAGAGCTGCCCATTCTGGGTCTCCAGTGAGATGGAAGCAGAGCCAAGATGCAGAACACAAGGGAACTCCTTGTCAAAAACAACTTGGAAGACACGATCTTCCAGGTGATGGAGCTTGATTGTCCGGTATTTCTCAGGGATCAGCTCTTCAACGTGAGGCCCAAACTGCTGCATGACCAGCACCCCACCAGGTCCAACTTTGATCTCATAGAAAGTCAGGTTGGAGTAGGTATAGTAGCCAACATAAGGGACTGGACTTGGAGGAGGAGACAAGGTTTTCTCTGCCTCTCTGAATGCAGTCTCCATGGCAGTAATCAGATACTCGTATGTCCGAGTTACAATATCTTCACCTTGAGGCCTGGGCCCTGCCATCAGTACAATGAAGCTCAGGCGGAGTTTGGGGATAAGTGAGAAGGTAGCTGAATATCCATCAAGGTCTCCATCCTTCCTAATGACATCATAACCCAGTTGCTCATTAATCTCCCAGGGTGTGCCAGTCTTGTTAGCAAAATATTCAGTGGAGCACTTAAACAGAGGTGTCAGCATTGTCTTCACTGTGTCAGGCTCTAAGAGACGACGGTGATAGGTGCCTAAAAAGACCATTGCCAGCTTGGCAAGGTCAGCAGCTGTGGAGTACATCTGGCCAGAAGGCCTGTACCAGCCGAGGTCATAGAGAGGGGCTGGCTGCTGGCTGCCATAGAAACCCACAGCCATTTGGGATCGGATCGGTGGTGTGATGTCGAAGCCAGTGTCCTCCATGCCCAAGCGGTCTAGGATGTTCTCTGAGATCCAGCGCTGGTATTGTCCCTCAGCTGCATGGTCAGCTAGTACATGCGCCAGCAGTGAGAAGGCCAAATTGCTGTAGTGGCATCTGAAAAGGAAGGAATATATCTGCATCAGCCTTACCTCAGTGATGCAGTGTAGGTATGACTTTGTTAAAACAATGGCTAGGTCTCTTTCATTTGGGGAATGATTGTGATTTTATTAGAGAAAGAGAAAGAAGTGAGAAGGCAGTGACAGAGAAAAAGTGTTAATGTCTTGATTTGTGATCAATTCAGGAAGGAGAAATTTCTTACATGAACATCAGCTGAGCTATTTAACTTCTAAGGTTCGAAAGCAGGCCAGAGATGGAAAAATCAAAATCAAAAACAAAAACACCAAAAAAAAACCCACAAACAAACAAACAAACCTTTAAGCAAAAACCTATATATTTGCATATCCTGACTTACCGTCTAATAATCGTTCACATAAAGAATGTCTTCATTCTCTCCAAGAGCAAAGTCAAGAGTTAGACATGCTTACCTTAAAGGTCTCAAAATCCCAGGTGAGCCTCAGGACATTTAACATGGTGCAATCACTGAAGGACCTAAGCTATCTTAAGATAGGAAAAGCACTTAAAAAGCACTTAAACATCTCTAAAGCAGTATCCTGCAAAGGTGAGTGATTAAAGACATCTAAGTGCTTGAGTCAATAATATACATAAAGGACATTAAGACTTTACACTTGAATTAAGTTTAAAGACATGAATGGACAATTTTGTTTCAAAAAAAAAAATCAGAGATTGTGGTTTTAACATTTGATATTTTTTAAATGGTGTGAAGATACACCTCATTAAGGTCTATTTGGATCATAAATTTGGAGCCACTTCAACTACTTCCAGCTCATCTAGATGAATAAAAGCATGATGTGTACATACATATTTTACCTCAGGAATAAATACATGTAGGACTAAAAGTTTATGTCAAAAATGGGCTGAAGTTCAACATTCCCAGAAAAATATATCACTGAATGATAGAATAAGTAGTTGGAAGGGACCTGCAAGAATCACTGAGTACATCTCCCTGGCTCTACACAGGACCACCCAAAAACCAAACCATACGTTTGAGGGCTTTGTCCAAATGCTTCTAGAACTCCAGAAGGCTTGGTGCCATTCCCTCCAGTTTAATTGCTGGTCTCTAGGACAGAAGAGGTGAGTGCCTGCCCCTCTGCCACACTTTGTGAGGAAGCTGCAGGCCGCCACGAGGCCTCCCCTCAGTCTCCTCTTCTCTGGGTTTAACAAACCAAGTGACTTCAGCCATTTCTCATACGTCTTGCCCTCTAAACCCATCACCATCTTTGTATCCCTCCTTTGGACACTCTCTAATAGTTTTATGTCCTTCCACAGAACTCAAGGTGAGGCTGCACCAATGCAAAGCAGAGCTGGACAATCCCTTAGCAAGTGGACAATCCCTTCCCTATGGTTGATCCTTTTGGCTGCCAGAGCACACTACTGACTACCAATTCAATTTGCATGTTGACCAGAACCCCCAGATACTTTTCTGCAGGGCTGCTCTCCAGCCTCTCGTCCCCTAGTCAGTATATATACCCAGGGTAGTCCTGTCCCAGCTGCAGAGTCCATCAGTTGCTCTTGTTGAATGTCATGCTGTTGGTGACTGCCCAGCCCTCTAATTTGTCAAGATCTCCCTGCAAGGCCTCTCCACCCTCCAGGCAGTCAGCAGCTCCAAATTTAGTATCATCTGCAACCCTTTTATTACACATTTAAGTCCTCTCTGCAGATCACGTGTAACAATTTCTTACCCTTCTTGAAAACTGGGACATTTGCAATCTTCCAGTTGACAGAGACCTCTCCAGACTTCCAAGGCCATTGAAAAATAATTCAGAGGGGTCTCGTGATGGCATCAACCAGCTTTTTGAGTACCCTGGGATGAATTGCTGGCAGTTTTCCTTGTATTATCAAAGATTTAAATTCAATTACTTCATGGTCACTGAATGATCAAGATGGCCACTGATTGCCACCGCAGTCACAAGACCCTCTCTGTTTACAAGCAACAAATTAAGCAGCTGTGTGGTATTCCCAGTTAACATCTGGGAAGTTGAGGTCACCCATATGGACAAGGTCAGATAATCTAGAGATATCCCTTAATACCTTATAGAATAATTTGTTATCGTCCTCATCCTGGTGTGATGGAAAATTCAGTTTTCCATAGCAATGCCTATAAATTTCCTTTCAGAAGAATGATATGTGAGTATATCCAGTGAAACAGAGTTAAAATAAACAATACGTGAAGTAATAAGGGGTTCAGATACTGTGAGTAGATGTCGTCACATATCTTAATGGTGAGCATGATATATAGATACCAATGCAGATAACTTTTCCATTTGGTACTCAGGTGCTTAAAGGTACATGTATTCTAACCTCCTACGTGATATTGGACAGAACTTCACACAAAGTTGCCAAGACCAAACTACTAATCCGTTTTCAGAAAGAGTTTTCTAAGCTTACAGGCTTCATGTGATGTAGAATCCTTAGTAACCCTACGCTAATTATTTCTGAATATAATTGTATTCAGAACATATATATTTCAGAATTATATTTCAGAATATAATTTGAATCACTAAACATTTTGCAGACTTTATTTATTTATTTTTTAGTCTAAATCTTTTCCCTTATCCACTGCCCATTAGCTCTTTTTCATAAGTTTGGTTGTTTGACTGCAGTTCAGGTAACAGACTTTTAACAGACTACATAAATTGTAAACAACTGTTAGAAGAATTTATAATAAGAGATGTGCAAATTTCTACAGACATAGCATAACCTTCAGTAAAATCTATGATAGTTTAAATTCACTGATTTAACTTGCCAGGTCACATGTGAAAATCTGTACCTTTCACACTTTAAGGCTCATTGGACCTAAGTATATTGATTTAATTTGCCCCATCTAGGCTTCTCACTCAGGCTCTATACTCAATCAAAAAAGAACCTGGCAGCTCTAAAAGTAACTCTTTCCAACCTAAGACAAGTGTATTTGTAGATGGGTAAACTGAAGCTTCTTCTAGGAATAACTGTCTTTTTCCATGGGACATGGAGTATACAGGTGAGATTAATTTCAGTATGGAACATGAACCCAAACCAAAAGCCCATAGGTGAATACATCTGACCTGGTTCCAGGATCAGCAACCAAGACATCATCTTTCAGGAGAGCCAGAGCATCTTGTGTATTGCCTTTCCACAGCAGGGTGGTAGACCGCAGCTTCCTGGGCAGACCTGTACCATGGAGAACAAACATCCCACAATTTGACACCGGTTATGGTCCAATGCTCTGGTTTGGTTTGGGAGAGAGTTTATTTTCTTCATTGTAGCTGGTATGGTGCTGTGTTTTGGATTCAACATAAAAACAGTCCCTTCCCCTCCCAACCCAAGAGATTTCCAGCTTTCTTTTGCCCTTCTAATTCTCTTCCGTGATACAGCTGGGGATAGCACTGGGAATGTATGGGGAGGGTGAGCAAGCGGCTCCGTGATGCTTAGCTGCCTGCTAGGGTTAAACCACAATATCCAGGAACTGTTGGGAGGACAGGTCTCACTTCTGCTGGAGAGCCATTGCGTGAGCTTGAGATGCAAGACACCAGATGACGGGGAACTACAGCAAGGCAGGGAGCTGCAGCCCCAGCACAGTCTACTCCTGCAAGAAGTAGCCACACTGGCTTTGAGCACTCCTGAGAGCCAGATAGAACCAGGCAGAGTTGGTGCTCCTCAAGACATAATTAGGATGGCTAGAGCAACACCACCATGGCCAGGAGCTGGGCAGCCTTGTGCAAAGACCTTCCTTTCAGTCTCCTACTGTTACAGGCCACTTTGTGTTTTCTGTCTTTTAAACAGATATATTTCCAGACTTTGGTCTCATTAGTCCTTGGAGAACCCTTATTTGGCTGGCTTCAGGTGATGCTCTGCTTTGTATTGAGGTACTGCAATTTGCCTACAGATTATTTTAATCACAGGTCCTATTTTAGGTTATTTATTCCAATCTGCAATAATGCAAGTTCTACAGAGTTCAATGAAACTGCTGCAGGAGATCTCAGCATGGTGTCTTTGACCAGTATATTCTGGAATCCCCAAGTCAAGTATTAAAAGCTTTTTTTCAAGAGGATCTTTATCTCCAGGGTCCTGTGAAATCTTTCCACCTTAACATTAGATTTTCCCAGGTTTGAAAGTAGCAGAAGATTAATAGTCGCCTGCCAGCAAGTACAAAGCTATTAATAGCTCAGGAATCCCAGATCAGAAAGCACACTGACAACTAAATTTAGCTCAGCAATCTAGGTCTATCTGATCAAAGCAGAAATGTTTGGTGCCACTTTGACCCTCAACTCTATATCTCAGAAAAATAGGAGCACTCCGGGCTGGAGTACAAAAACTGTTATGCAATTTGAGACTGATTTCAGGTCAGGCTACAGCGTTGAAATAAATATATATTCACCTTGTATGGGAAAAAAATTTCCCCTGCCCACAAAGCAGCTTGGCCCCTTTCTGAACAGGTGGCCTGGAGGAGTTCCATTAATCACTTCATGAAGCTCCTGATGGCTTGATTCCAAGGGTCTTTCCTGACCTCTGAGAAGTGCAGATGCCACACTGATAAATAGCCTAAAGAGCTGTCTTTTTAATCCCTGACCCATGATCTGTTGTCTCTGTGGTCTCTTTCAAGTGGCACAGTGGTCTGCAGAGAGCAAGTAGGGATGCCTCACCTGAGAGCTGGCTGGCCATTCTACGCAAGGTAACAGGAGATGGCTTAAGTGGTGTTGAGCCTTTTTCCAAAAAAATCAGCCCATCTGCTGTATATCTCTGTTCTGATTCCTTGAACCTTCCCAGAGGATTTTTAATGGCAAAGTTCTGGACATAACGTTCCAAAGGGTCATCCAGAGATGTGACTTTCCCTTCTTCCCACATCTTGTACAACATAATGGTTGGAAAGATCTTGGATACACTGGCAATTCTGTTAAGAAACAAACATAAAAGTATTGAGAAACCCATGAAACAAAACAACAGATGCTCAGTACGAGCAGTACTCAGTACCAAACTGACCCACTACCTGTAGACTTACATGCCAATACCTCTATTCAGAACAGAATGGCTAACATACTGAAAAGTAGGTTAGGTTAATATCCTTAACTCTGGCCTTCATGGTCTGCTATTCAACATTCTGGAATAGTCTGCACAGGGTGGAGGCTTTTTTGAATATGTTTTGGCAAAAGAACACATTTTAACTGCACTCTTCATTTGAATTGGTTATGCTGAATTATGTGGTTTCTTTTGTTCAGTCTACATGTCCACTGTGTAGAAGACGTGGTGCACAGTCTTGTAGTATCTATGATGTTTACACGATTAAATGCAACCCCAGTAGTGCATTGGATTACAGAACTTTCCTCTGCACAGCTTTTGAGCCACTCTGTCCCAGGCATGTCGTGCTGCATGGGGTTGTTGTGGCCAAAGTGCAGTTCACTTAGCCACGATGAACCTCATCCTCTGCCCATCAACCCAACTTGCTCAGGTCCCTGTGCAGGGCCTTCCCACCCTCCAGCAGATCAACACATCCCCCCAGCTTGCTGTCATCTTCAAACTCGCTGAGGGCGTGCTCAATTCCTTCATCCAAGTCATCAATAAAGATATGGAAAAGGATGGGCCCCAACAGTGACCCCTGGGGAAAACCACTTGTGACAGAACAGTCAAGTTTGGAAAAGGTCTTCTGGAAGAAATAGGATGAGGTCCTCTATGCAGGGATTGTATCATGATACGGGGAGTGTGTGTGTGTGTGCGCATCTGTTAATCACAGCTACTAAAACTTTTCAAAATTGTTCACTTTGAGGATAACATTTGACAGCATGCAACCCATATGTTTCATATATAACATAGTAGAAACAGGTCTCACCTGTAAATAGTATACTCGTTCGGCACCACTGAGGAGGGATCTGAGCCATTCTTCTTTCCAAAGTTGCCTGTCCACAGTACAGTGTCATTGTAGATAACAATGGCTGACATGGCAGGGAGACCAGAGCTATGAATCTTCTGCCGCAGCATCATATCTACCTGGAAAATGATAGGAAATGACAAATATCCAAGTGAAGAGTCTTATAATGCATATGCTCTGTAACAGGCAGAACTAGATGCAGCAAATCAGCCCTACGTACTGTACTGTCAAGCAACTGAGAGTATACACAGCCTGGTGATTTTTCAAATGTGTTTTGCCAAAAGAACATATTTTATCTGTCCTGCTCCTTTGAATTGCTTATGCTGAATTATGCAGTTTCTTTCTTCAAGTGTACACATCCACTGTTCAGAGGAATATGGTGCTCATTCTGATAATATCTATGATGTTTATATGATTTAAAAAAATGCTGAATCTCTAAAAATTGCAATTTCTTTCTTCTTAAATTTTATGGTGAACCTGTTATTTACACTAATATATAGGTTCAAATATGTATGAGAAAAAGATCCAGACCTTTCAAATATCCCATGATATTTTACATGCCATCAAACATGCTAGAGCTAAAAGTCTTGTTTAAACTGCACTCAGAGGAACAGTGCTGACACAGAAGGCTGTGATTGCTTTTTGCTTCCTATTGTTCCAGGGTTATATAGACTTAATCATCCACTGTGCTCCCCCCACCTCCTACAAAGAGAATGCATTACTCTTTTATGACTTTCTCAAAGCTGTCACAGTATCATTAAGTTTGGAAAAGACCTCCAAGATCATCTGTTCCAGCCATCTGCCTACCACCAATATTGCCTACTAAACCACGTCCCTACGCAACACATTCAACCTTTCCTTAAACACCCCCAGGGATAGTGACTCCACCACCTCCTTGGGCAACCCGTTCCAATGCCTGACCACTCTTTCTGAGAAGAAATTTCTCCTAATTTCCAGCTTAAACCTCCCCTGGCACAACAGAATCACAGAATCACAGAATGATTGAGGTTTGAAATTGGTAGCAACAGGCTTAGGCACTCCCTGGAGCCAGAGACCTGAACAGCTGCAATTCTGGGGAGGCATTCAGTCTGGGTTTCCAGTCTTTTTGGCAAGAGCTTTCTGCCTGGTGGACACCATGGCTGGATTTGTTGTCTGCAAGGGCAGACATCAGGTGTGACTGGTCTCCTGAGAGGGAAGGGCTACTCTGCCCGTCCTGTTTGCCCTGCCTGAGCAACCTTCTGCTCGAAAAGCATGCCTGATGCTCAGGCAGAGCCTGAGATGATCTGAAGACAATCTTTAGGCAATGGTGTCTAAGCCCCTGTCAATATCTATGTCTTCCTATATATTTAGTAATCAGATTCTCTGTGCTTTATTTAATTTACAAAATAGAAATAGTTTCACTAGTCTGTTTCAAAGAAGTTAGGAGGTGTTTGGATACCTTATTTCTGAGGAGGATATAGAAGGGAGGTTTGGTGACTCTTGGTCACTCGGTGTCCTATAACCTCTCTGACTTAGTTCTAATTGAGTAATAAAATACCATTCTATAATAACATCAGAGACAACAATAGAGACTTAATAAAATGGAATGTGAAGTGATAGCAATTGAAATTCAGTGTAGACAAAGTGATGTGCATGTAGGAAAACAACCCTAACCACACATACACAGAGATGGGCAATGAGCTGATTGTTAGCACTTGGGAACAAGACCTTGGGTCTATGATGGATGTTCCTATGAAAACATTTTCTCAGTGCTCTGTGACAGAAAAAGAGATAAAGCAAATATTAGCTATTATCAGAAAGGCAACAATAAGTAAAACAGAAAAGAGTACTTTGTCATTGTATAAATCCCTGATCCAATTGCACCTTGAATACTGTCTAGGATTCTGATTTCCTGCATCTCCACAAGAGTATGCTAGAACTGCAAAGTACTCAAAGAAGAATGAAAACAGCAATCACAGCTGTGGGACAGCTTCCTCATTATAACTAATTATGCTAGGACTCTGCAGCCTGGAAAAGGAGACAAATGGAAGACTATATCATATGATCAGGGTCTACAAAATCAGGCATGTCCTGTCAAAGCATGGTTGTGCTTACATTTCATACAGGCAAGGCAATGCTACATGATTTCCTCATTTCAAATAGAACCTACTAGAATTTCAAACAGCATTACAATGTTAGAGAAAGCATATCATACTGAGAAAAAACAGGTCTCTCCTTCATTCAAATGCAGGTTTCCTTCCCCTTCCCAACCCCCTTCCCCTTCCCCTTTCCCTTTTCCTCCACTTCTTTTTTGAAGTTAGCTACAAGAGCTTATTGTTTTTTAAATGGTGGCATGCAAGAAAGCCAGTAAAGCAATAAAATCAGGAAGTGATGGTCACTGGCTAATAGGCACTAGTTACATGAGTCAACTGCTTTCAGGACATGAATGATGCAGTGACAAGATGCCAAGAACAAGAGCAGCTGTCACTTCTGCTGATGTATGCTCACCAGAACTTCTGATGGGCAAGCAATAACATAAATTCATCATAGCTTATTATTTGGATAAGTTATCTGCCTATGGACCTGTTCTGTATGGTCACTGAAGGAGTTTTACATACCCATTTGTAGATTCATGTGATATGCTTTTTCTCTGTCCCCTACCTCCTTCCTCAGTGATGCTCTGAGGCAAAATGCGTATTGGCTCCTATATACCCTTCAGAACAGTAGTCATGAAATATTTCTCCCCCAGTTCCCTTCTCCTCACAGACCTTCTCCAATGCATCCTTCAGAATGGGGACTGGGTGGTCCAGTGGTACTGGTTCTGGATAGCGGGGGCACATCTGCACAGCTTCTGATCTTACTTCCATCACAGATGGGTCTGGAAAACAGTTCACAGATAGTATACGTGACTTGAATAGACATACCGAAAATCATAAGGGCAAGCAAAGATCTTTTGATTCAGTATAGTATGAAGTATGTAGTATGACCCTGGGACTTGAACCAGTTCAAAGATCTAAGATTAGAGAAATAGGGTAGGAGGCAAATCCATCAGATGAACTACATCGTAGGGTGTGAAACAGAATTCATTCTAAATTGGAGTGATGTTTACATTAAGATGAAAAAAAAAAAAAAGGGAGGGAAGGCATGTGAAATAAAATGTTTTTTTCCTTGGTATATCAGTTAATCTATGTCGAAGTCAGAAGTATTGGCAAATCCATCCATGAGCTAGATTTTCTTGTGATCATGAGCTCCTCTGGACACCAGAAGAGTTAAATGTCACCCCATCAACCCAATTTTCTGTTCTTGCAGCAATTAGCATGTGTTAATCTGGGTGCTGTCAGGTCTTTGGGAAAATATCCACAGTGAAAAAGGCCTTTACTGGTCTGGCTTAAAGCTGTTTACTCACTGGGATCCAGTTTGGGGAGGCTGTACTGCCACAGGAAGCAGCCTGTCATAGCTACAGACAGCAGAAAGAAGAAGATGGCCAACACATGAATCCATTTCACTTCCATAACAATGAACTTGAGGAGGCCCCGGCTGCTGGATTCCTGCTGTAAGGAGAAAAGATATCTCAGAGTAAGAGAGAGGAAAACGGTCTCTCATGCATGCCAGTGAGGTGAAAGGCACACTACATCAAACAATAACACTACTGCAGGGACATGGACTAATCCCAGTACTCCTGTGACACCTAGCTTGGCATTCTAGACCACGTTGTAATTATTGTAATTTATAATTAGAACCAGAGGTGACATCTTGTCTTTCACTGAGCTTTTCAAGACATTACTCTCCTCACCTTTTTGGCCTTACTGATTCTCTCAGAAGAACAACACCCACACACCAGCTGATAGATTGCCTTTTTTCATTCCTGCAGGTGAATTTCATCAGCCCAGACTGGCAGTATTTTTTATAGCTCTCATTTCATACCTTCTCAACCACCATGACTTATTCCTGGTTATCTATTCCACCCCATCCCTGTTTTTGCAGAGTCCAGCATCTGTTCTTGGCAGCCACCAGCCAGATACAGCTTTTATAAAATAATGATACACATTTCACCATGTACCATGAATGATAGAACTTTTTCACTTTCTATTTTGCATGTGTAATTCCCATTATATTATGTATATTCCATAATCTTGACATTTTCAAATGTCATGTTTTGGAAAACTGGCTAATATTTTAGGTTGATGTAGATCTCACAATACTGGAGACCATCAAGGTTGGGGAGACCACCATATAAACGTTAAAGAAAAACAAAACAATGAACAGATGACAAGTGATTAGGTCCTTAAGCATGAGCTCTGCTCTTTCACTTACTGTGAGACATCAATAGGTTGCTTTTGAAAGCTTGGTGATTAATGTTATATAACAAATGGCCTGCCATTTACATCCAATACTCTTTTTTTTTTTTTTTTTTTTGGTGAATTATAGGGTATTTCATGCAAGAGTTTCTGCAGTCAGCTGAGCCTTATCACTTACAGTAAGGTAAGCTGCAGAGCCACTTGCACATGGCTTTGTGGCTCTGTAAGGACCCTTCTGGGGGATCTAGACCCTGATGAAACTCTGGGTTGCAGTTTTGGGTTGCAATTGTGGCATACTTTCTGTACGAGAACAGAAAGATGCCACAGTTACTTCTGAAGCCCCTTAGTGAATTCAGGCATTGTCACATACATTTTGAAGGTGCAACATACTCCAGGTTCTTCCATAACATCATTAGGACTTCAAGGATGCCTTAAGACTATACAGGTTCCTGCAGACCCACTCAGCAGAAAGACCCACTCAGGCCTTATCCTGACACAGCACACATGCAGTCCATATTCTAGATATCAGACAAAGTCATGTATGTTCCTAGATAAAGGAATCTGTTTGGACACCATAAAGAGCTTCATTTAGATATAAACAATCTAAAACAGTTGGAACTAGGTCCTGTCCAACCCAAGCTGTTCTACAATTCATAGAGTGCCTTATCAGGCACTGAGGAGAAGCCTGTATAATATCTCTTTAACCATCCTCACACTGACAGGCTTCAGTTTATGCTGGAGTATGTTTCCTAGAGCTGCAATGAGATGCTACTTTCCTGCAGTAAGGAGTTGGATAAAACCCTCTTTCCCCTGGAGTAGTCATGGGGTGATTTCCTTGAATCTATCTCCATCAAAATAAGGTGATTTCACCCCCAACCTGCAGTTTCTCAGATGATTTTTTCTGCCTTTTTCCCTGCTTTACTGAGAAATCCTGATTTCTGGGTCTAAGAGCATGAAAGGAAAAGATTTTCTGATACATACGTCATCTCACAAATGCCAGGCTCCCCAGACCACTAACTGAGGACCCAGAAATACTGACATTGAACTCTCATCCATTAGTCTAAACTCTTTTTTAATTTTTATTTTTCATTTTTTATTTTTTTATTTTTTATTTTTTTTATTTCCTTGTGGATGAAATGCCATGAAACCATGGCAATACTATGAAATTACAGGCATGGATATCTCTTCTGTCCACTGGACACTAAACACACAAAGTGCAACTCTAGATGTGAGGAATATTCATCATCCTGAGAGGAAAAACTACTCTCCCAGCCATCTTTCAGGAAAAAATACTCTTACTGCTTTTTCCCTGTACCTGTAAGACAGGCAGACAAAAAGGTGGATAGATACCTGCAAACAGACTCTTCACATTTCCCACCCCAAGATGTGTGTGATCTCACCTCTCTTTTACTTTTTTTTTTTCCATCTCACATACATTGCTCAATGATCTGCATTGCTAATCACATAAATACAACAAGGCAGGGCGAGTGAGGGTACCAAGCACTTAGACACATGAAAATGAATTCAAAAACATCTGGAAACAAGATCACCCAGCTTCTCAAAGTTAAGTTAGGTGCATGCTCCATTTTTTTCCCCTGAGCTTTGAAAACTTATGATGGAGGGGAAGGAATGGGAGTTGCACACAGACTCAGCTGTACAGTATCTGCCCTCTCCCCATGCTCATCTAGCCCCAGCACATACCATCAGCCGAAGCTGTCTCAGTCCCAGAGGATGCGGTCAGGCATCTCAGTGTGTGTGTGCCATAACAAATCCAGACTGTCTGATCTCAGCCCCAGTAAAGGTGAAGCAGAGCTCCTTGCCATGCTCCTAAATGCAGCTGCTTGTCAGACAGGCACTGCTCAGTTACTCCAGTTGAAGTAGCCTTTGCTCCATGATGTTTCTGCTCCAGGTTTACCTGTCCATCTGACCCATTCAGACCCTCCAGAAAGTGCTGCTGATCTCCTCTGGGCAAGGAGATTAAGCAACAGGGACAGAATGGAATTTGCTCTCAGGAAAGTGCCTGAGAGATTGAATGTTAATTCTCTCTAATGCTTCTCTGCCATGTGTGTGAGTCACAGCTGAAACCATGAGGGCTTCACAATCTATTTATAACAGCTTCATCTCCTTCTGGCATCAGAACAGGAAGCGATTAACTCATGAGATGGACAGCCCCTGAGTTGCTCCAGCCAGCAGTCCTTGGTAGGGGGCAGGCTGAGCTGTTTGCAGGCAAGGGAGGAAGAGAAGCTTAAGACAGGAGCTCAGGTACTCTCTGGACTTAATGCTGAACAGTCTCCTATAGTTTCCCTGCAGTGATAAACAAGAGAGTCATTCCTAGATAACAGGCTTACTAGATATAGATGTGGCTGGTGTTTTCCTTCCCGTTAGCTGCTGGAGACTCTGAAGAAAAGTGGAATGTTGTGATTTGCATGAGGTAAGCCTTACCCGCAGCTGTAACCCATCCATGGCTGTTGAGAATTCTCTTCTCATCCCCTGTGCTGCCTGTCTCCACAAACAAAAGACTCGTAAAACCCTGTGATGAAGGGAAAAGAAAGGTTAGTGCAGTGTAAAAAAAAAAAAAGAAAAAAAAAAAAAGAGTTGGAACCAGGAGGAAAGCCCCATTAAGGAAAGCCCCGTCAAGGATTCTGCTAACAGGGAGGGACTGGTTTTGGACAGGGATGTAAACCAAAGACCAGTCCACAGTAATGCCTTCTCTCTATCTCTTGTTTGGCAGCATCTTGAATTCAGTGCAAGGACTGGACTCAAGTTCTGTGACTTGTCAGTAGCAAAACCATCCTCATCCCACCTCCCAGACACAATGAATTGGAGCTTTGAGACCTTTACGACTGAAACTTTCAGTGCTTTCTCCACCTTCTCAGCCATGCTTCCTCTTACATAGCCAGTCCCTGAAGACTTGAAGCCCCTACTAAGTCTTGGGAATCAAAAACACAGACAAGAAACTGTATCACAGATTTGGAAGTCTAGCGTGACTGTCACTTGCCCCCCAACAAGCCCCCTCTTGCCTTGCTACCTGTCAGCAGCAATTCAATAGGCAAAACCCCCTATGTGAGAGCTCTTACCAACCTTGCTGCTGTCCTCCGGGTTCCAATGATGATGAGTTTGGAGTTCCAGATGTTAAGAGCATCTGAAGCACTAATCCCAACAATCAGCCTCCCTGAACACAGATTATTTATTGGCCATGCCTCCTCAAGCAATGCAGCATCTGTCCAGGGATGCAGCCAAAAGGGAGTATTACTGGTGATTTCATGGCTCAAACAACACAGCAGAGTGGAAAACAGGGGGCTGCAAAAGCAGGAGGGGTTACTCACTGTAAGCTGTAAATATTCATAATGCACTGCTATTATTTTGTAAAAGTACATTACAAATGCTCTGTGAAGAGGAGGGAATGATCATGCTCTCATTTATGTACCAAATCTATGTCAGGAATAACCTCATGGATCTTGTCATCCTGTTGTTTTCTTCAGATGTCCATAGATAAGGATATTCTCTTCAATACCATCACTTCATTTCAGTATCTCTGATGGTGGTCCACCCTCTGATGGTGATCAAAATACTCAAGTGGAGCCTATTCAGCTCTGTGCCTGTGCCCTAGATTTTTTCCCAAGTTTTTCTGAACAGGTACAGGTAGGTAACTCATGCTCTTTACATGTTACGTGTTGTCATCCCATTCTTTCTCCATTTCCCTCCTTTTTTATAGAGTTCATAAAAACATAGTTTTACAATCTCCATCTCATTGTGATCTGTAGTAATTCACTCATTATCTCCATATTTCTTGACCTTCACTCTGAAATCCATTTGCTCTGTGGTTTTCCCCAGCACAAAAACAGGCCTGCATACCCATAGCAGGGTACCAGTGTTTCTTGACTTGGAAGTGTTTCCTAAATTTCTCTTTCAAGTTTATTAATCACTACTTTACTTACAACTGAATGGCCTACCACTGACTCAGAGAAGGATTCCATCTTCAATAAACCTCTAAAAAGGAGGCAGAAGGGAAGTAAGAAGAGTTTGTGCCCACTCTGCCCTTGCTGAAAGTTTTCTTTCAGGTTTGCTCTCAGTTCAGCTACTCACTGGACCTCTGGGCTGTGACAGATTGTATGCAGTACCTCAAAGTTCCTAGATGATGTTTTTTCTGCCACCTCAGAAACCTGCTTGCTCATTAACCCCATCCTCTTCTCATCAGTCTCACCCTCTGCAGTATTGCTGGATCCTTTCTGTTTGCTGTCTTTTCAGAGCAGTCTCTCAGATCCAGAGAACAGCAACTAGAATGGGAAAGAGCGTTTTTCCTCCCTTCTGCCTCTCAGATTTATACTGCATATAAGTGACTGCACATAAAAGATTTTGTCTTTCATAATGCCAGCTACAGCAAAGTGACACAGCCCCAGGTCAGTCCATAACTAGCTTTGACCTGGAAGCACCCAGGAGCCCAGACAAGTAGGGAATGACTACCACAGAGAGCTGTCCAAAGGCTTTTTAGTTCTCTCCAGTCCCTTTTAGTTCTCTCCAGTCTCCAGTAAAGATCTTCACATGGCACGGACCACCTAGGCAGGCAGGCTGGCTGCATCCCATTCTGTTTCTGGCTCATTTGCAGCCAGCAAAGCACTGCTGCACAGCACAGACCTGCAAGGTGCAGACACAGGCTGGGGGTGCAGCAGGAGCTGGAGGGGACAGACCCAGGGCAGCTGACCCAAACTAGCCTGAAGGGGTATTCCATACCACATGGTGTTGTGCTGAGCAATTAATATGGGATACTGGCCGGGGTGGGGGGACTGGCTGCTTGGGGATGGGCTGGGCATTGTTCACCGGGTGATGCGCAATTGCATTGTGCATCACTTGTTTGTACACATTATTAGTAGTAGTACTATTACCATTACTGTTATTATTCACCTTTCTTTTCTGTCCTAATAAATTTGTTTATGATTTGTTATAATCATTGTATTTGTTTTATAGTTGCTGGTCACAATGTTGATTTATTTGCTCTCCGAGTTGTTTAATTTAACACATATCTTTCTGTATATGCTCCCTGTTTTGCTCTTTATAATCTCTGAGGGCTGGTTGAAGGTTGCTCTGGGTTTTGTCAATTTGTTGTACTATGTAACACTTGCTTATGAAAGCAGTGATAAAAGCAGTGGCTCTGAGCCTAATCTGGAATTTCAGCACTGCCCTCATTCATGTATTTCTGGAATAATCTCTTGAAAACTATTAAAAATCATGCTTTGTAACTATTGTCCTCCGAGAGTCAGTCTGTGGAGGAGACGAAGAATGACAGCTTCCCCTCCTTCTTCCCCCTCCCCTTCTCCTCAGGCTAGTTACAATACCTATTGAGTATTTTGAATAATGTTGGATCTTTGGGGTGTCCAGCCAGCATATTTCTATTGCTATAGCTCCTGAGTGTGTTTCTGTTTTTGTTGTTTGTTTATTCATTTGTTTGATCTTCTTCTTCTTCTTCATTCTTTTCAGTCTTTCTCCTTCCTTCCTCTCCTTTCTTCTCTGGAGGGTTAGTGAGGGGGGCTTCTTCTTTTTCTGCGGGGGAGGGAGGGAAGGACGGAGGAAGGGGGTTCAGGCATTCCTCCTTACTTCATGCATGCCTTGCGTCCTTCCCTCTTCTTCCTTCTTCCTTCCTTCCTTCCTTCCTCCTTTCTTCTTCCTTTCTTCTTCCGTTCTTCTTCCTTTAGTCCTCTTCTTCCTTCCTCTTCCTTCCTTTCTTCCTTTCTTCCTTTCTCTTTCTCCTTTCTTCCTTTCTTCCTTTCTTCCTTTCTTCTTTCTTCCTTTCTTTCTCTTTCTTTCTTCCTTTCTTTCTTCCTTCTTTCTTCCTTTCTCTTCCTTTCTTCCTTTCTTCCTTTCTTCATCAGGAATAATTTCACACAACCACAAGGTTGGAAGACAAGGCTGGAAAGACATGATGAAGACACCAAAACCCAGCACAAGTAGAAGAACATCTCTGTGATGCAAAAAGCTCCTTCATGCCCATGCCCTAGCTCTCGAATGCTCTCTCAATGCTTAAAGACACTTTCATATTTCCCTTGTCTTTGCAGGCTGCTGAGGTTGCCCTGGGTCACAGGGAAGAGCTGTGGGCTCAGGGTAGAGGGCCCTGACCTGCCACAGGCCAGCATAGCCCCTAAAGCTCTGCAACCTTACAGGGGCTTCCCTCAGCCTGTGAAAGCAACCATGTCTGTGCAGTTCACAGCTGGATCCAGTTTTGGCTCCCTTTCCTCTTTCATACACGTCCCAGAAATCTGCAGGGATGATGGATTTTTACTGAGCCATTTCAAAGCTCTCTCATTAACTGCTTGCCAGCAGCCAGTTCTCTGGTAATGGGTATCACCTCTGGAAATTGCAGCCCCATGGCAACAAGGAGTTTAATGGCTGTTATTCCTAAATGAAGGACACAGCTCTAGTAATCCACCTCTTATATCTAGCAACGTTCCTTAGAAATGATTTCCCCTCCCAGGTAAGGCAGACAGAAATACATGCATTTACAAGTATATTAAAGAGACATAGCCTGGCCTGGCCTTGCAGTGCATTTGTTAACATCGTGACTTTTTTTTTTTTTTTAATGTAGTCAAGTGAAGTTATGGGAATTCTGGAGGCCCTGTAAAAATCGAAAAGTTCTAATCTTCCTTGCAAGAAACAACAGGAAAACTAATTTCAAGGGCAGGACTCATTTCATGCTGGGGAGGCAGCACAGGCACTTCTCCTTACCACTTCCCAACCCGAAAAAGCATGGGGGTTTGGGGACAGGCCCTCAGGAATCACAGAATCACAGAACTGTAGGGGTTGGAAGGGACCTCCAGGGATCATCGGGTCCAGCCCCCCTGCCAAAGCAGTTCCCTAGAGCAGGTTGCCCAGGTAGGTGTCCAGATGGGCCTTGATTTTCTCCAGAGAAGGAGACCCCACAGCCTCTCTGGGCAGCCTGTCCCAGTGCTCCGTCACCCTCACCGTGAAGAAATTATTTCGTATGTTGGGGCGGAACTGCCTGGGCTCCATTTTGTGGCCATGGCCCCTTGTCCTGTCCCCACAGCCCACTGAAAAGAGGCTGGCCAAATCCCTCTGTCTCCCCCCCCTCAGGTATTTAT